CCTTGTGATGGTGCTTCTTGTGACCCAGGACCTCATGACATGTTGAAGTGATTGCCTCTTTGATCCCCTTCCAGTTGCTGTGCACAGTAGTTCCTTCTCCATTGAGGAGATCATGAAAGGCCTGGAACTTATTGCTGAGGACTATCTTGAATTTGTTGAGTTTGTTAGTATCCTAAAGAAAGGCCGTATTGCACTTTTGTGATGTTGTCCGCCCCATTTTCCAGTGTTTCTTGAGTTTCAATTTCATCTTGGCGACCAGCAAGTGATGATCTGATGCTATATCAGCTCCTCTCTTGGTTCTCACGTCCTCTATAGTCCTCCTGAACGTTTTGTTGATGCAAATATGGTCGATTTGGTTTTGTGTAGAGTGGTCCGGTGAAGTCCATGTGGTTTTGTGTATGCGTTTATGTGGGAATATGGTGCCGCCTATGACCAGTTTATTGAAGGCACATAGATTCGCAAATCTCTCACCATTTTCGTTTCTTTCTCCAAGTCCGTGTCGTCCCATGATGTCTTCATATCCAGTGTTGTCCGTTCCAACCTTGGCATTGAAATCTCCCTTCAGAATGATCAGGTGCTTTGTTGGGCACTTCTCGACGATTGACTGCAGCCTATTGTAGAATTGATCTTTAGCGTCTTCATTGTAGTCGTTGGTAGGCGCATAGCATTGTATGATGTTCACTGAAATACCCTCTTTCTTTGTTTTGAAAGAGGCTTTGATGATCCTTGGTCCATAAGATTCCCATCTTACAAGTGCTTTTGTGCTTGTTTGGACAGCATCAATGCAACTCCTTGTGTATGTGGGGCATTTTCTTCTTCATGGCCGGAGTATAACAAGAGCTCTCCTGTATTTAGTCGTTGTTGTCCAACTTGTGTCCAATGTGTTTCACCGATCCGAAGTACCTCTAGGTTGTATCTTCTCATTTCTGCAGCAATTTGGAAGGCTCTCCCGGTGTCCCACGTTGTACGAGTATTCCGCGTACCTAAATTAATGGTCGCTCTGGTTGTCAGAAGGAGCATCGGCCTCGTGACTTCAGAAGGAACTCGACGTTCATCATGAGGCGTCATAATTCTTCTAACTGAAGACCTTCTGACTCCCAGGGCAGAGTTTAAAAAAGGTTTGAATAATTTTTTCTGGTTAACGTTTTTTAGCGAGTTAGTTTTCTACGGGATGGGGTCGCTAAACCCATACCCAAATCTCCTCCTTTATCTGGGCTTGGGACCGGAAGTAGCCCTCGGAAGGTCTCCAGGCGGAGTTTGTAGGGTGACAGGAATATAAAAATATGCTCTAACCAGGTCGATCTTCCAGAAGACAGTAGCGCCTTTTGCACTGCTGGTAAGATCGTCAATGTGCGATATACGATATCTGTCGGGTACTATTTGTTTGTGCTCGATAGTCTCCACACTGCCTAACTCCACTATCCTCCTTCGGAGCCATGTGTGATGGGGATTCCCATGGGCTGCTCAAAGACCTTACAATTCCTAGTCTCATAAGCTTGCCAGATCCTTGTTTCGCGGTTTTTAATCTTCTCGGGTCTTATCATGGCCCTGCGTTAATTGGTGGTCCGTTTGTTACATGATGTTGAATGGAGTGTTTGAGATCTGTTTTACTGTACGTTACGTTCCTGAGTTCAAGAACCTCCTTTAACAACGATTTACATGAATCATCGCGGCTTTTATTTATCACTAGGATCATGGAAACGGATTCCATAAGTGTTCTTCTTATCGCTGTGGTGTGACCACCGTTTATAAGTATGTGACGCTGTGAGTCTACTAGTAGATCAAAGTTACTTAGGAAATTGATGCCTATTATGGGAACTGACACATCAGCTATGATAAAGTCTCGGCGGTACGAAGCTCCTCGTCAGAAATCTAGGAACAACTTTAATTTGCAATGTCTTAATATTCGATTTGTTTGCCGCCCTTAGCACTAATGTATTAACGTTTTTTCTCCCTTCACTTATCGGCGGTACTACGCTGATTTTCGCCCTCGTATTAACTAAGAATTGAGCGCCCATTACTCTGTCCTGGACATAAAATAAACGATTGTTTTTAGGAGCTGTGCTAGTTATCGCAGCCGTAATCGACAACTGATAGAATCGTTTGAATTTGCATGGTGATCTACATTTTTGAGCTCTGTTATCGTACGTTTGATGGTACCATCATAATGTAAAAGAATGAGCGTCTTCTGGGGCATCATCAGTTTCTGTATCTTGATCTAATTCGCGACCATCTTCTTTGTCTTTCGTTCTGACTAAAGTTCGTTAGTTTGCGGCATAAAACATTAATATCTTTTTGTAACGCATCGATTCTTTCATTTGCTCTGGTACTGTGCTTTTATGGACTCGTGTGTATTGTTCTCTCATATATCCTGTCAGCTATTTTAGCGATGTTGTATATGTTTGCATTTCTATTTCTAACGGCAAGAACCTGTTGCTCACTCAGTGGGAGTCGTCGCAGCCACAACCGATAAAATATGTTCCTATCTATCTTTCTGTATCCGATTATGCTGCTAATATGATTTTTAACTGTAATGAAGTTCCATGTCCGGTTCGCACTTGACTGAACAACTGCTCAACGGCTTGCCAGCCGTTTAACGAGACAGCACTTATCATTGCCTGCTTTAAGACCTCTTATGTTTTTTTCTGTGTCCAGCTTAGCTAAGACCTCTCGCACATTGTCTGCTTCTTCGTCCGGAAGTAGTGAGCTCTCCGTGAGTGAACACGGTTGGTTACAGAATAATATTCAAGTTTAATCAAAGTTACGGGTCGCTGACTGTAAAAGACAATAATAGACCTCACGGACGGCGTTTGTGGAGGGTCCATCGTATCGTTATTTGAAGACATATTTATAAAATTTAGTATATAGTGTAAATTTCACTAATGGAAATGGACCCACAGAAACAATTATAATAAGAAATGGTACAATTTACAACATAGAACAGACTTAATAAATTGGACCAATGTGTAAATCGTTCGTGAAAAATCGTTATTTATCATGAGTATTATCGTTAGGTTTAATAAGGTTTGTGAGGTAATATACTTGTTATTAAAAGAGTGATATAATATATCTACAACCATGATTATAATGCAAATGGTAATCCGAATTGAGACAGAGCGCGTTGAGTTTTCGAAATCAGATTATATCGTTGAAAACTATTCCATGTTTTTACGTTGAGTTGTAGAATTATGGTCTACTATGATATTAGTACTGCTCTAATAATAGACCTAATCCTAAAATTGTAGATTTGTCATGATATAACTGCCTAATCTATAAGATCTTACGTGGAAGTCACACCATCGACTACACCAACTCACTGTATCGTATCAATTACCAATACATGATGTAGAACAAGGTTAGGCTAGAGAAAGAACAATATATTTAATATGAATAGAAGAAATAAGATAACATTCAGCAGGGACCACGCCTGCACGGCCGAGCCATGTCGTTCGATCAACTCTAATCCACTCAACTCATTCTCCGCGCCTTCTCCATTGTTAGGTATTTCCCCGAGTTAAATATTGAATATCTATTTTCTGAGTAGTCTCGTGTTCACAGCTTTGTGGATTGTGTGGCTATTGTCCAATGCCACTACAGAGTTACCAATTCTGTAGTGTCTTTGCTCCGTTAATAAATCACACGGATGACAGTTATAATATAAATCACAACGGTTTTTGAAATCAAAAGGCAAAGAGAAGCGACAACTACAGTTTACTAGAGGACGGTGCAGGTCTCAAAACTATAGGCACATTGAACGTAGTTGAATCGGAGGGGCGAATAAATATATGAGGATAATTACATAGGCAAACTTATAGTCAAATAGAATAAGGGTGCAGTAAGGTTAAGCAAGGACTAATAATAGGATTTGAGTACGTATATACGTGGGAAGGAGGGATCATCGAGTGATAATTACTAATAATAATTCATTCTCAAATATCAGCTTGCTACATGAGGATTGCCAGTTTACAGGCAGGATCAAATTGTTACAAAAGACATTATTTTTACTGTAGTAAATTACTCAGCTGGGCTAATATTTTATAAGATGTGAATGAAGATGGTTTTAGTGAGAATCGTATTTTAAACATCACAGTTGGCGCGCTTTATGAAGGCTTGATGGTCGAGAATGGATGCATATCAAGTTGGAGGCTTTTAGAAATTCGCAACCTTATATCCCTTTAGAATGCCTAAGGCTTTGATGATGGTGCAGGACGAAGTCACCCGTTTCATATCTGTTTTCAGTGGCATATCTGAAGGGGGGCTAAAAAAGGGTGCAAGAAAAAGAAAAGACGAGAAGCAGAGCAGACAACGTTCATGAAAGAATAGTTAAGATATGACTACTCAGTATGGGATTATGTGTAGTTATAAAATATAGTGGTGAAAACAGTATTCTGACACACAGGTGACTGCCGCCCTTTCCTGTCCAAGCTATTCGAGCTCATTTTTGTAGATTTTATGGGGTTTTGAGCAGACATCGTTTTTAGCGAATTGTCTAGTTTGCTTGCAATAGGATTACTCAGTAGAAGGTGAAATCAATTCAGCGTTCTTAACACGATTTAATGAGGTGTTTTGCATAATAAATCAGCATCAGTACCATTGGTCCGTGACATTCCACTAGACCATAAGGAGCCGTATATATATATTTATATAACAGATATATTTAATCTATACGTAAGATAACATACTACCAAGATAAAGTGCGTTGTTCCCAAGCAAAACATATCTGACTGCACATTAATCTGATGCTTCTTAGTTCTGATTATCGCTACAACATATTTACAAATGTCACTAAGATAACTACATCAACCTCTTACAAAGGGTCTGTATTATCTCCATTATTTTCTTAACTGTAGTGCCATAAGGCATATATCAAAATTTAAATATTGTGGTTGCGTTTTTCAGGTCTTTTTATCCACTGTCAGATAGCACGTTGACCTAGTATATACATACAATATATTACGTTGCTTTGATGCCCTTTGAATTTACTTTACGCTAGCCCAACCATGGTCATTTCGTCGCAGGCATCTGTTTGTACGAATTTGGCTGTCACATTAGTTGCCTTAAATAGAGTTCGTCCTAGTTAGAACTACAGCCAAAACAAAAATACTTATTTCCCACTCATTACTGCCCAATCGTTAACCCGTTGTTCTTTCAGTACTTTGACTAATGCTCACACGTACTATCATATTGTAATATTGATTAGTCCGCGGCTACTTACCGCGATCGATGCAAATAAGTGATTAAATATATTTATGTTTGGCTATGATAGTTCATTAACAAGCTTCAATAGCATTTAAACGCTTCAGTGAAATAGGTTTGTTAGAACATCAAGAACTAGCAAATAAGGCCTCCGGTAAATAAACACCGGCTAGCGATGTATGCAAGGATCTTATTTTTCACCTTGTTCCTTCACTTAGTATTTCATTTTATTTAAAATTGTTCTCTATCCCGTGACATTTTTCATTTCGACTAATTTCCACTTTTCGAGTTCCACTGAGAAACGACAAAGCCAATATTCGAGAAACTTATGGTGAGACTAAGCTATGAAATTTCTGCAATCTTTACTTCATTTCAGATGGTTTATGCATTAACAGCCACATAATTATATGGACTCTTGGATTTGTGCTGAATCAATCAAGTGACAAAATGTCAACAGCTTCAAGCGCCCTGTAATTAGTTACACACTGCATGCTTAACTTGGTTCCTTTTTGTTCTTCACCATTTGTCGCAACTGGTTTTGTGTGCGTCAAATCCATCGGACAGTATAAACTTTGCTGGATGATTTACTGTTCTTGTACTTAAAATATGTGTATTTTCACTTATATTAGCCGTATATATCTCATACGAACTACTCCCGAAACGTTCGTGCCGTAAGATATATTCAATATCTATACACGACAACATACTACATCACTTTCGAATTTACCCCATTAGCGACAAAGCTGTATACCATTATCGTAGACATGAGTTGGGAGTCGTACTCCCCTTGGTTATAGCTTATGCTCTCCCTGGTAAGCACGTGGGTGTCACTCACTCTTTATCATCTTGTAAAATTTATTTAGCCGGAAGCATTGCGGCACACAGGCTTTGCAGATTTCAGCAGTTTTTAATCACTATATTTCACATAAGTCGTTTCCTGCCTTATGCTAAACCCCATACTCGCAACTGATATGTATGCACCTTCAGCCAGTAAATATGCAGATAAATAACCGGCTTGCTGTACACGAAATCACTTAGTTCAGAACATGTGTCTAATGGACCCAATCATATTTGACGATTTATTGTCAGCTGTCTGTCCAAAATTCACATAGTCTGCACTTACACGCAAAGTAATTTTTGATATTCGTTCAAATGCATTAGTAGTTTTATTAAATCCTATCACGGTTAAATAATAATTAAGTACAGGAAAATCTCCCTGCAACCAACTAAACCATAATAAATTTGACAAACGATCTGGAATATTAGTTATACTTCTGTTCCTTTAGTTGACCTACTAATGCAGATGCAATTTGTAATCGCCACATACGGACGATACACCGGCATTAACACTAACTGAAAGCGATATCTTGCATTATTTGTTGCGAGATATGGTGATAATATTTAACCGAATACTGTTAACTAGCCGTGTTGTTGAGGTTGACGAGATTGATCATAAATCCGACTTCCTACAAGTACCATACTGTGAGTATTTGTAGTGGTAAATAGATCCTCAAAATCAGTATCTCTGCAAGTCTTCAACGTTTGGTGCCAGCTGCATCGGCTTAAATGGACTCACCTAGCTGAGGGCGCTCGATTACTCATCCACACCAGATCACGAGTGAGTACGCCCCGCTTCACATCTCCTACGAACTCTAGCCTGCTTAGTACTTCCCGATATATCGATATTCTGTCAAATATATCATCAGCTGTTGTTAAACTCCAAATACTTGTAGCACATTTAAATGTAATCGTGTTCCTGTCTGAAATTGATGATAACTTCGGTTAACACAGATGATGCAGTTCAGCCCACATCTGCCAAGAATCTTCAAAATAAAATATTTCATCACAAAAACCATATCTCAGCTACTATTCATCAAATGATCGTCATTCCGATAATGTTATATCACAATTTAGTCGTGATTTGTCAAGAAAATGATTTTGACTGGCCTGTTGTCTATAAAAAGACAAGTTGTATTCAGTAACGTAACATAACTGCTTATTTCATACGGTTTTGACAGATACCACGATAACACCTAAAACTCACGGAAACATCCAGCGAGGATAAGTAACACATGCCCTGTTTGTTATTACATTTATGCGATGTCTCCGCTGTTTTTCACGACAAAGACATTAAGGGGCTGTAATCTTCGAATGCCTATCCACCACGTAACATGAATTTCTTTCGTTCCAACGTGTAGCTACTATTGAACTTTGTGGTACTTTTCAGTTTACGAGGCGCGAAGGTATATGTTAACAGTGTAACACGGTAAGATAAAAACGTTCCCTCACTTAGAATTATCGATTGATTGACTGTGTGGATCGATGCCATTATTTTTGGTAGCTTAAGTTAGTTAGAAGCTAATTGAGCTGAAAATCTGTACGCGTCTCATTGGGGATTTACTCCAATGACAATCCCATCAAACTGATCGAGTCGTTCACTGCACTACCTTGATTTGAGTTAGATATATTTGTCAGTAGGTTTGAATAATCGTGTTAGTCTACGGATTTTTACTTTATTGACAAATGGCATGTAGTTCACTTTTGGCCAGCAGAGGCGGAAATGTACCATTTGAGTCAGTTGCCGAAGCATTGGTATATAAATGAACATTCAGCATAGTTTGATTCACATTAAATAAATTAGTATTAATCCAACTAGCGTGTATTTAACTTTCTAAAATGAAGTATCATCTCAGTCTAACATTGAAGCTAGGAGAAACATTGGTAGGCCTGTCTCATGTTTTCATTGCTGGTATATATTTACTTAAAATTATCATATCAAAAGCTTGAAGTTAAGCTGGTCAAAACAGCCATAGACATGCTAGCTTTAGGGAAAAATTACTCAGGTTGACCGAACCGCTATAAATGAGAGAGCTCTCATCAAAATACGTTATTTATGATACTACTGAATAACTCTCGCTCCATCTGTCTCTAACCGTCTACGAACAAAACCCAAATATTTTCCACTTATCAGACTGTAAATCACACCCTTTTTGGTTTATTTATGTTACATGACTGTACAATTTAATAAGTTTTCTTAGTTTCTGTGACCTGTTGATTGAGTTTCATGTACCCTGACTAATTAGGCATATCTACATGACCAAAGTAAACAACTAAATAGTTAACTTGTCTCCACCATTTTGGTTATCATCTGTATTACAGAAATCTTGTCTAAATATCCTGAAAAAGGAATGGTGAATGACGTCTGTATTTATACTTTTATGTACATCGGAGTAACAACGTCGAGTTACTACAACGTTCTTATTTGGTAAAACTCAGTGAAAACTAGTTCATATTTTCGGAATGTAGTCTTGAATTGATTTTAAACGAATATATTTGGTTAAATTTACCTTATCATAAGCTGGTCTCATGTTGGAATTCCGTTTTAAATAGGTTAAACACAGGCCTTCAATGCTTCGAAGATTATTGGTACACAGGTTTTGATTATTGCTACTGTTATAGCCCCATTTTAGATTCTTAAAGACGAATTCTCTTCAATTTCACAAATTCTCCACAACTACTAAGCTTTTAGACTTAAGTGAATTTTTTGATGATAAGAAAAACTGGGGAGAACCGACTGTATACAGTGGAAGACCATGGCGCAAAGAAGAGCTTCGACTGAAGAGTAATGTTGATCTACATAAACTGTGGTACGTGCTTCTGAAGGAGCGTAACATGCTGATGACTATGGAAGAAGAGCATTTCCGTTGTTTGGAGCAAATGCCTAATCCTGAGCGCTTTGAGAAGGTAGGTCAATGTGTATACATATTGGATAAAGTTATCGCGCTTACTTTAGAAGTTTGTCACCATAATTAGTTTGAAGTTATAAAGTTAGCTTTACTGAAATGATACTGGCTACTTGTATATTATGGCTGTGGCTTAAGAGTTACGACATTCGACTTCCAACCATTAGGTCGCATGTTCGAGTCACGCTCCGTTTACTTCGGTTTGGGCAGCTGGGTAGTATGCTAGCTGTGACTTAAAGCTAGAAAAACGAATCTGTACTTGGCGAGTCAAATCAAATTACCCCTAAATCGTATTATATTTGAGTGTTAAGACGAAGTGTGTCTTTTTATTACGCTTATAAACACTAAGGAAACTGAATTTACCAAAAACGAATAAAGTAAATACTGATCAAATGGTGCTGCCTTTTCATGTCGTTACAATATTCTACGTTTTGTGCTGGGAATTCTTTAGTGTAACCAAACATTAAATAAAGCGGCTATTAATAATGCGCATACAGAAACACTTTGAAAGCTTACTTTTGATAGAGAAGCGAAATATTAGTCGTATTTGCTCATTACCTGCTATTCAGGCGCTATCACTGATGATTTTGCCGACATCTGTTGATCTTACTCATAGAAACCAAGCTAACATATACAGTTGTGCTGGTGGAGAACCTGAAGGTTGATGGGTGCATTTTATTTAGTAGGGATCCGAGGTATAACAGTGACCAGGGCTTGGAGACTGTTGAGATATCTCACGACCGACCAGTGGGGTAGGTATATTAATTCTTAGTCTTTCCCTATGTCCTAAGCCTTAGTATTACCTTGTACTCTTAATCCATCGAATTCATTTCCTTCCGAACGGTATTCACCAATGTTTTATCTTTTCCAATATAACTGATACCGCTGTTATTTCAGATTTTGGTGTTTCTCCTAGTAATTTCATTTTCCGCACTAATATGGTGTGGTACATCTAACTGGATTACGTTTATCCCAGGTCCCATGTTGACCATGACTAACTACAATGACTATATGAATTCCGGATTCACTTTGTCTTGACGTAGCGGTTGGTGAGATTGACCCAGGGATATACAGGGAAATGGTATCATTATCGACCATAACTAAAAAGGTTTATCAGAAGAACATCACTTGGACTCCAGCGTGTGTTGTTACGTGTTTGCATGCGCCTTTGTTTAAATATGCACAAGAAATTTACATTTAGAAAGTGTGTGTTTGGTTTGATAGTAAGGCTGTTTTAAAACAGGAAATTGGTTAGATCGTTGACAAAACATGCAAACGATCACAGTAAAGATCTAGTTTGGTATGGAAACAACAGTAGGTCATTTAAACATAAACAGTGTGGGTCTTGGCACAAACTTGGATTGGCTCATGTTAATGTCCAGAAAACTCGTAGAGTAAGTTTACAAAGTGAATATCACAGGAGGCAAGGTAGCATTAATAACATGGGAAAACTGAATAGAACATAATTCACAACGAATTAATGAAATTAAGGGATAGGACGTATGACCTAAGTCAATTTAGATCTCTACGGTTGTTGTACAGACTCTAACTGGGAAGTTTGCACTTCTGAACATAAATCAGTCTAATAGTCAATCCCTTTAAAGAACTGGTGCCAACTGTAGCATTCTTATTAGCTACTTCTATGCTATCCACCACTGGATATGAGGAGAGATGGCGTCTGGAAGTACTCCACCCAAGCAGCAGGCATCTTAGCCAATAGAAGTCCATAGCACCATTAATTGGTTCATAATCTAACTAAAACTGTGAATAATCTTGGATCCCTTAATGGTCTTCATACAGATAAACTACCTCAAAGACATCTGTAGTCAAACACCATCAACCAACACCGTAGCCGTTATTTTGACGAAGTGGTCAGACTTGTCAGCTGTGACGCCGAACTATGTTACTTAGGATCCTTCCCCATTAAATATTTCGTTGAAGCAAAGACAGTTGTAGACTAGTGTTTGAAATTGTAGAAATTTCACGTTTACAAAAAGCTCTGATCGAGATTAAAGATGGTAGAGTTAGGTTAGGGAAAATAGATGTAAAATGATCGTTTGTGAGGCTTATTATTTATAGATTGTGTAAATAATGACTAATTCTATATGGATTAACGAGCATCATTTTTACTAGTTTGTTTAATACAAGTATGTTAACCCATGCTATCTGTTTAGAACGAGCTTACTTCACAATTCAAGTTACATTACATCTGTTTTTAAAATAGGTTGAAGAGAGTATGGAGAATCTTTTAATGGTCGTAGAAGAACGTAACCGTGCAGAAGATGAATTAGAAAAAGGTGAATGGGTTGGTCCAAAGGTTGTGGAGTCAGTAGACCCGTTGGGTCGAGCAGTTCAGACACTGACCAGTGAACATCTTTCTCCTAAAGTTATACCAAGTCATGCACAATCAGATGAGTGCATGTGGAGTGAAAAAACGGTGAACTTGTTGCGGTTGGAGCGCGAGAAGCGAATTATCAGAAGGCGAGAAGAGCAACGAAGACAGCGTTATTCCGACAGGCTTAAATATTGGAACAAAAGTGACTATCTCAACGAAGATTCGATTTGAAGCCAATTGGCATAAACTTATATTATCTTAGTGTATATATTGTAAATAAGTACTTTAATATCTACATGTGTTAGTTTAGCCAACTATGAGGAAAAATTATATGGCTTATAACAGTTCCGAACATTTTTTGAATTTAAATCACAAACCGACATGTCGCGGCAATTAATGTTAGACAATGTAGTTCACATTGACTGTAGCTAAGCAGTTCTATTGGTTGTCTAGTTTGTCCAACCTGTAATGTAAACTACGAAACCCAACAATCCCCGGGAAATCCCGTATACTGAAAGTAATGGTTTTCTTAGGGTTGCGTGGGCCAATAAATAATAAAAGCCTAGATTAACACTAGGTAAAATGCCACAATAAACCAGTTTCCAACAGATCTCGTGTCACTTATTAAGCGTACATTATTAGTATGGTCTGATGTCACTTTCAGGTCCAGAAATACAGCCGGATCCAGGATCTTTGGTCTTGCACACAATCGCTTAACCTCCAGGCTACTGAGAAGGGCATCCATGTCTAGCTTCAATCTACCCATGATCTTGCGCAACCCATCATCGATTGTCTGAAGAGGAACGGTTGTGCGAAACCATAGATCGGTGGATACCCCTCTTAGTAGTCTAGAGGCTAAGCGCTTATGTGCAAGACCAAAGATCATGGGTCCGAGTCCCATGCTGGGACGAAACGTGTTTCTTAGCGCGTTACCTGGTTCTGTTTTTGCCCCCGACACACTAGAGTATGGTAAAAAATAGTGAGTAGGAAATTTAGTTCCTGACATTATTTATTTGACTGTGATTCTTAAATAGAATAGTATTCGCTGAAAAAATTGGAAACTAATTTCATAATAAAAGAACTGGCTGGTAGTAACAGAATAACTAGGATCTAGAAACCTTTGGTTTTATATTGGGAGACCCAAAATATTAGTATCTTTCGAAAGGGTATATCTAAGAAGGGGACTGGTAGAGGTTTCTTCTCAACGCCACGATATCTTTATAATTACGAAGAAAACTAATCTACACCAAGTTTTCACTACATTACTTTCTAGACTATTAATGTATTTCCACTATGATTTGTATTTAGTGATAATTACTCAGTACACAGATTATAATCGATGTATAACCTATCAACTTAAACATGCTTTTAATTCCACTGGTTTCATCATTAACAAAACTTCTATTACGAAACTGTGCTTCTCACTTTAGTTAGCGAAGTAGGGAAGAATAGAGTAGCAGTAGTCCCATTCACCGTATTGATATTGAAGTTGCTGGTTATTCCTTGTAAACGCCTAGATGTCCTTAAACTTAAACGACCGATAATAATCAGTCAAAATATTTCTAGTGAAATAGCTACGGTGATCATAATTATGTGTGGTTAACTATTGACCTCTGAGGTGAATATGAACAATGATAAAAGTAATAATCTCAACATCCAAGAGACATTAGTGTTACACATATGTACATATATTTATTAGTACAAACACATTGACTAGGAACGTAACTGCTTTTCCAATTCTAGTGTCTTTACTAAGGCGTGATTCAACTTCTTGCCGACACTTGTTGCTAACTAAAAATAAGGCGTGTTAGTCAAGATTGTTGTTACCTGTGACATTTCAACAATTGATTCTAATTGACAACTACAACATCCATCTTGTTCTAAAGAACCAATTGAACCATCTGGATAGATAACAAGAGATAACCTAAAACTACTTGTTAAGAACAATTTATTGCAAATCTGACCTGGATAATGAACAGGCTTCTTCCTCTTTACTTGCATCTATGATATATGTTTTTCCAATCTAGAAAATCAAGTGAAAGCACATTGCCTTAAGGTTTTTGAAGTAATGAATAAAACGGGTTGTTTTAATGGCTTGCTTTTCAATTCTAAAAGCAAGGGTAAGCCATTTATCTAATTAGTATCGTTTACATTCAAGGAACAGGCTCAACCAATAGTCCGGTAAACTAATCTGTAGCTGATTGGACCAGAAATTCGGCTAACGGGTGAGTCGATATGATTATGATGAATAACATAACTAAACTACTTACTTACGCTGTTACCCCTCGTGGAATAGCACAGGCCGCTCACCAGCATTATCCATCCAACTCTGTCTGGGGTACTCTTTTACAGTTGCTATTCGTCAGTCAGTAATAACGTAGAACTTCGTACGTACGTACA